AAAAAAAAAAAAAAAAGAAAAGAAAAAGAAATAATTTTTGAGTGAATGAGTTCACAAGTTCTAGTTCACAGTATCTGCAGCTAGACTCACTGAGCTTAAAGTAGATAGAGACTCCACTGTACCAAATCAAGACAACAGGCTGTAGTACATATCTATACCCCGAAATGTCACAATTATTAGTTGTCCCTTTGCAGCAGGTCTTCTATAGGATGGCAAGGATGTAGTAGTGACCAAGATAAATAAACCCAGTGCTTTCCCTGCCATAGACCAGCAGGAGGAGATAGACTTGAGACACGTAATGGTGTCAGTAACTCTATAATGAACCCATGCAAAGTGATGCCAAAGGAAAGGAGGACAAGACATAGGGGCAAACAACATGATGACCTAGGAGGTGACTGGCATGATACAACATGTTGGGAAAATGAAGATGGATATGAGGAGGGATGTGTAGGAGTTGGGGACAAAGAGCAGCAGGACAAAGGTCTGTGACTTGAGAGAAGGCTTTTCAGGTTAAGATATATAAGGAGGGGGAAGGGAGAGTCAAGTGAACATAAGGGGACTTTGTAGGCCTGAGGGAAGAGTTTGGGGCTTTGTCTGAAAAGTTCAGGACAGGAAAGGATGAGTCATATTTTTTTGTGTACAGAAATCTAAGAGTATTAGAATCTAGTGTGAGGGCTGGTGAGATGGCTCAGTGGTCTAAAGCACCTGTTTAAAACAAGCTTAGCAAAGCACAGGGACCGCGGTTCAATCCCCCAGCACCACATGCCAGCCAGCCCCACCCCTGGTGGGCTGAGCTGCGCTGGCCACACACACACACACACATACATGCATAAATAAAAAAAAAATTTTTTTTTTAAAATAATCTAGTGTGAGTTTCATAAACTGTGGAGAATATACTTTAAGAAGTTTTTTGGGGGCCAGGGAGATGGCTCAGTAGAATAAGCACTTCCCCGGCAAGCGCAAGGGCCTGAGTTCAATCCCTGGTTCTGAAAAAAAAAAAGTTTTTTGTTTGTTTGTTTGGTTGTTTTTCGTTTTTGTATTTTTAGTGCAGGGTCTACAGGATCTCCCTACACAGATTGGACTTGTAGTAATTCTCCTGTTTTCAGCTTTCCAAGTACTGGGATTACGGCATGCGTACCATGCCCAATCTCAATTGGGAATTGAGCTCAGACCCTTGCACTTGCCAGGGAAGTGCTTATTCCATTGAACTATCTCCCCAGCCCCTTAAGAAGGCACTTTAATCTACTGAGTTATCTGGCCAGCCCTATGGAACAGGAGAGGGAAGGGTTCAATATGGGGCTGGGCCACATCCCTCTGGCTGCTTAGTGGAACACAGGTTGGAGGGAGGGGTAGGGACTCCCAGTCAAGGCACGAGGCCAGAGTTGGGGTCTGAGCAGGGGAGAGCAGGGCCAGGTCAGGGTGATGTTGTGGGGGAAAGCAAGGGGCTGGTGAGAGGGAAGTTTGTGACACTGATTCAACCACAGAGTAATTGCAAAAGTCCAGGAGGACCCCAGAGCTCAGTCTTGGGTAGCAGGATGATGCTGGAGCTGTCCCTGAGGGGAGACACAAATGAGAGAGCCCAGAAAGGCTGATGGAGAAGGTCCCCAGGTGGCCAGCTGAGAACTTAAGAAGCTACAGCCAAGCAAGGGCAGGGTCAGATTTTGTCTCAGAAACATCTTTCTTGTTTTTGTTTTTGTTTTTGTTTGTATTTACTACAGGGTCTATAGGGTCTCACTATGAAGATTGGACTCTAGTGATCTGCCTGTTTTCAGCCTCCCAAGAGCGCACCAAGCCCAGTCTCAATCGTTGTCTCTGTGCACCCTCTGGACGGATGGGGCGGGGGTGGGGGTGGGGTGGGGACAGCTTGTGGAGCCAGAGATTGAACCTGGCCCCTGCGCTCTGCCTAAGCAGGCGCTCTAGTCCACTGAGCTATCTGGCTGGCCCTAGAAACATCTCTCTTGATGTTAGCTAGGTGATGGGTTGGAGGGAGGAAGAGCAGAGGGGCCAGAGGAATATCAGGAAGCCACATGGAGAGGATTCTGTGATGAGCTTCAAGGTCACCAAGACCCGGACAGAAATGGCCAGGAACAAAGAAAGGACACCAGCCTCCTCCTGCACAGACCTCACACAGTGTTCCCTGAGCCCAGCTCTCCGGATACAGGAGTAACACAGCCAAGTCACTGCACAGGCTTCGTGCCTGTAAGGACCCAGATGCACAATCCAGCTGGGGAGACGACAGAGGGGAAGTGCGGGTACAGACAGAGATGAAATGTCAAACCTCACTGGAACTTTGTCGACTGCGGTCACCACGTGCAAGGAACCACACACATGTTGACCCAGACCATCCTCCCACGAGCCTGTGACAGATCTGTTCCTACTCCCATCTTACAGATGCACACCCTGAGGCCCAAGCAGGAGGCCAGTCCCTCGCCAGAGGGTGCCCTTAGGACAGCAGAGATGGGATTATAACCCGCGCACTGGTGACCTCTTGATGTGAGTCCATATATCAGTGTCTGCCTCCGCGTCCTAGTGCGTTTGGGTGCGTTTGAGCATCCCCATCTAAGTGTCTAGGCGCCTCCCTGAATCCCCCTCTGCCCATCCAGCTGTGAACTTCCATCCTGGAGGTTACCCCAGGAGACAGCTCCTGACCCGGCTTGCCTGAGGATGTCCATGGGCTGGCAGTGTGCCCCTGCGTGTCTCTGCCTGTCCCAGCCTCTGTCTGTGTCTACACCGTGTGTGTGTGTGTGTGTGTGTGTGTGTGTGTGTGTGTGTGTGTGCCTGCGCGCAAGAGTGTCCGGAGCCTTGAGTCTGAGGGGGAGTGAAGGGCCCCGGAGGCTGGGCTGAGGCTGGACTGGGGGTGGAGGCAGAAAGGGGGTGGCAGGGGCTAGAGCGGAGTGGAGTTCTGAGAATGTTTACCAGACCCAGAGAGCCCAGAGGGACAGCGCCCCAGCCTGACAGAGAGGCGCAGAACCTCGGGCCCAGCGGGCGCTGCCACCGGGATCCCCTTCCCCCTCCCCAGCCTCCCTCCAAGGGCCCTTTAAGATAGGGCTGGTCCTCGCCTCCCCGAGTTAACCCCTCACTGTCCAGGTGGCCCCCGGGGCTCTGGCGGTGGGCGGAGGCAGAGAGGGAGCCGGAGCCTGGGCGGGGAAAGGGTGGCCCGAAGTCTGGGAGGGAGAGGAGGCCGGGGTGCCTGGAAGGTGTCTTTGGAGGAGCACGCAGAGTGGGCCCCTGGGGCCCCCCGCTGTGCCAAGCAGGCAGTGCCAACTCAGGGGTGCCTGGAGCTAGGGGGAGGGCTGGGGACAGCCTGGCCCTGCCCCTCCCCCGCGACGTGCCCAACAACTTCGGAGAAAAGTTTGGCATTGACCTAGCGCTGGTGCCTAAGGATGGGCAGGGTTCCGCTGGCCTGGTGCTTGGCGCTGTGCTGCTGGGGGTACGTGGCCCCCAAGGGTGAGTGATGGGGGTTCTTCAGGAGCAGGGCCACCCACCAAGGGGCAAGGGCAGCGGGGGGAGCGGAATTGGGGGTGGATGGCAGGTGTTGTGGGGAGCTGGGGAGCTGGGGAGCTGGGCAGGCTTAGGGATTTTCCCTGGGACAACAGAGGGGACGTAGAAAAAGGGAGGGCAGGAGAAATGAAGATGCAGAGAGGTTGGGGGAGAGAAGAAGGGAAAGGAACAGAAAGATCAGAAACAGAAACTGAGAGGACTAGAGTTTTCAGAAGAGATGGACACCGAGAGACAGAGACCTAAGGACTGAAGGAGGCTGGGTGCCGGACTCAGTTCTGGGCCCTCAGGAGAGGGACTGGGCTGGTCCTTCCCCAAAGGAACCCCAAGGCAGGCAGGTAGGATGGGGGTTCCCCTGTCACAGTCAACTCCCCATCCTCTTAACGCAATCTCTGAGACAAGGGTCTCTGTCTTTGTCTCTATCTCTACTTCCAGCTTAACATCTCTGTAGGGCTCCTTTCTCCCTTTCTCTCCCCAGCCTGTCTTTATCTCTCCCTCTCTAAGAGATTCCACTCTAGTCTCCCTCTGGCACTGTACCTCTTGATTCCCCTCTTAGTGGGTATTTCTTTCTGTCTCATTTCT